ACAGATATATATATATATATATATACACGATATATAGTAAGGTCCTATATATACGATAATGCTATTCTGTATGAACATGCTACCGTATATTATATTGTATTATTTTTTTATTATAATTATATTTGGTACTATTATTATTATTTTTTATTTTTGTTTTTGTTCTTGTTATTGTTATTAATATTATTAGTTGGTCTATTTTCATTCCAAAAGGACATTTATTAAAGAAATGTTTATCTTTAATACCGTAAAAGAACATTCCCAGACACCACTAACAATCTCATGCTATATTATATTGTATTATTTTTTTTAATTATAATTATATTTGGTACTATATTATTTTTTATTTTTGTTTTTGTTCTTGTTATTGTTATTAATATTATTAGTTGGTTTATTTTCATTCCAAAAGGACATTTAATAAAGAAATGTTTATCTTTAATACTGTAAAAGAACATTCCCAGACACCATTAACAATCTTCTAACGATTGAGTGTGCAAATTTAAATTGCGAATCGATTTGCAGTTGATTATTGAAATGAATGCTAATAGTATCAATTTACCGGTATTATTCTTATTTAATATTATCCTAATTCGTTTATCTAAATATGACTTAAACTGCCCGTCAGCGTGATCTTAATATATTAGACTTCAATCAGTTAACTCTGCTTTAAATAAATTTTGGTTGTTTAGCGAATAACAACTATTAGTTAACACTTATATCTAAATTTGTTAAGATTGCCACCTTGAGTTAAAATTTCTTAAAGCTCTTTATATCTAATTAGTAGTGATGCTCTTTTGATGATGAACATGCTTATCCACTTGAAATTCTATTGTCAAATTTTGTCCGTTTTCGTAGCCTGCAAAACCAGAATACTAAAAAAACGCAGACACTATCGACGCTAAGCGAACGATATCAGGTTTGCCAATTAGTACGCCCTTCTACTCGTATTTGTCAGGGTACGCAAATGTTTAGTGGTCCTTGTAACCCATTAGCCCCAGTGGAGTTAAAGCTAGTTCGCTGTAGTGGCAATTAACGGACAGTTCCAAGCGCCTGTTGATGGATATGTGATTAAAATTTAATAAAGCCTGAACAAAAAGTGACAATATCGAAACAGAATGTCATTAAATTAAACACAAAGCTTCTTAAATAACGGAAAGATTCAAGTGCCCAGATAAGTGGAGTCTGTATTTTATTACCGTACACTTCAATATAAGGGTCTATTATTAGAATAAAAAATATCACAAAATTCCATATTATTTAACCACAAACGTTATTGCTAGTGGCGTTGAACACGATTCAGTAAATCACAGATAGGAAAAGTATGTTGAACATAAATAAAACACATCAATAAAATATTTTCGGTAGACGAAGTTATGATTTATCATAGTTTTCCTCATTAGTTGCATGAGAAAACAGTTGTAAACCTGTTGATTTTACATATATCTGAATTCGATATGTTCACAAATACAACCGAATGATTGCGAGTATAAGAAATATTATTTATTTTCTAGACATGTGGCACGAAAATTATCAAGCTAATTGGATAAGTCGAAACTCTCGTCATTGTGGCTCCATTTTTCTATTATTAGTTTTAAGCCCAAACAAAAAGGTGCAAGGCATAACCGGTTGACGTACACAAATATACTATTAGGTATAATAAAGGAAATTATGCCCATAGGTTTTGGTAATAATAATACATAAATATTAACTAATGGCTAAAAATAAATCTATAATACAAATCAACAGTCTGTGAGTCAATATAAACACAATAAAGTCAAAAATCATGTTTAATTTTTTATTAAAATTGCAAGTGACAATTCACACCCAAAATATATATCTTGAAATATAATAATCTTTTTCGATAGTTTATTAACAAATAATACTCATGCAAATAAATGACATTTTGTGCTACCCTCCTTCTCTAAATGTCCCCCAGCCCCTCAAAAAACCTGCCTCTCGACAAGCCTCGAGCTAATCTTGGTAATTTGAAGTATCTACAGCAGTCTCTAAGACAACATTATGATCAGCTTCGTTGATATTAATAATATTAATATATTATATTCAAAGCCGTAGACAGTGCGCCCTGTAATACTCAGAGCCACAGACAGTATACCAACTGTAGCGCCCTCTATAGCGAGAAAAGAAAACTACAGTACGCTGTAACTTGCACAACTAAAATGTTTTTAAAAAAACAATGAACCGTTAAATACGTAATCTAACTTTCTTTGTTGATTTTCTTACAGGTATTACAATACTTTATGGTAGCTACATTGGTCAGCCTCATTAGGAAAATTACTAATACTTATGCAAAAACAAAAAAATATATATAAAAATAGATATACTAGTATGTAAAGTAAAATGATTGACTGATTAATCAATTCATCATCACATTTTAATTTAAATAATTAGAATATTACAGAATCAAATGTGTAAATTATGTCAATTCAATGACGGCTATAAACATAATGTCAATGTCCATGAGTCTTGGAAAGCCATTTTTAAAAAGATGGAGAATAAATGTACTAAGTTCAGGCATATAATACAAATATACAGGTATGAAGATTGATCATTAAATTGTTAGCATTTTTCTTACAATGATGCTTGGTTGTAAACAACTATGCAACCTTTGCCAGAGGGCGCCATTTCATGCCAAAGCTCAGATTCTGGTAATTTCTTGACATCCTTGAAATAATATCAAATAGTAAGTATAAATAAATTTTATAAAATTAACGATGATGATAAGCAGGGAAATACACTACATTGCATTACAAGATAGTAACATGATATGGTAATGACAATGATGATGATAATGATGAAGAAGATGATGATGATGATGTGATGATAATGAGGCTTCTGTAATTAATATTATACTTTCAAAATGATAACAACACAACAAATAGCAAGTGTAAATTATCAGTGATATACCTGAATAAGGACAAACTTGATAGATGTTGACTCTTCTGCCTCAACACCCCCTGAATCATACAGGTGTTTGACCTCTTGTGATGAGAGGGAGCATCTATCAATAAATCAATCATTCAATCAAATATTATTTTATAAATTCACTTAATTTCAAAAATACTAAAAGCTCTGGGATACAAATTCACTGGAGAAGGGGGGGGGGGTAACTTATTAAACAAGAGTGTTTTCAAAAGCAGCAGGGTCTAAAGTGAAAGCCCTGAGGTCCAGTGGGCTAAGCTGATGTCTAGGAGAACTTGGAAATTTGGAACATTTTCAGCTGTTATGCTTTAGAAGTTATTATGTCAAAAGACCTAACCCTTTTTTGTGTGTGTGTATATTAAGGGAAACATGTTTTACCTCTTTTGGTCCAAGTTGTGGCTGACTGACAAGGGCTTAAATCATGTGACCGCCCGATGGAGGCTTCCTCCCCATGCCACCACCCTACCCCAAGGGAAATGTGATAGATGTGGTGATGCTGTCAGCATCCATGCATACAATCTACCTACCTCACTAAGAAGTCTGCACTTGGTCTGAAGGCACTGGTGTGGTTCAATGACACCCCAAGGAAGATCGGTTCTGAAAGCGAGGATAACGGAACATTCACTTCATCCCTGATCTCGCGAAGCGTTGAGTCAAAAATTTCATTTACAACTAATGCGGGGTTTAGATCATTTATGCAGATGTCTGCTGGGTTGTTAACTTTTCCTACTAACTCCTGTAAGAACAAATCAAGATAAATATAAAGAAGTGATAGCTAAACAAAGAGAAAATGAACTAAAATTGAAGGATTGATAGACAAAAGAATAGATTTAAAAAAAAATTATACAATGAATAATTTAAGGCATCCTTACTAATTTTGCATATACTGATGCTTTGAATTCACATCTTCATAATACATGCAATTATTTAAAAAATCATTAAAAAAAATTCCTAAATATATATTAATAAAAAAAATTATACTTTTACTGACCTCTGGTTCCGGATGACCTCCAGGTATGTCCCACAATCCCTGAGCTTCTCCTACATGTTGACTTCTCCTAATGAAAACCACAAAGCCATCTTTGGTTTGAAGAAAGGCACCAACTCCTAGCGCATCAGACATGTAAGCTTGTTTGTTACCATGCTCTTCCTCTCCTAGACGTAACATTTCTTTTGCATTTTTTGACCAGTTTGTACCTAAAAAATCTTTGTACCCAGTCACCCCAAGCTCAATGTATACATTTTTACTCTTTTTCTCTTGAATAGAATGTAGTCGGAACTTTGATCCATTAAAAAGTCGTGGATTTTCTTTCAGCTTTTCTTGCCATAGTACATCAATTCCAGGTTCATGGAAGGAGTGAATTTTACGGTTAAATTCTCTGGACAAAGCCACCTCAATTTGGTCTCTGCGGATACCACCACTGGAAGCCTGGTAAAGAACTGATACTTCCTCATCCATTGTAAAACTTGCTTCATTGCACTGAAAAATAGTAATTAGATGATTAATATTGAATTTATGTAAGCAGCAGTTTATCTTGGGAAGGAGGGGCAGGGGAGCTGCCCACACCATTGAAAATGTGGCTAAACAAAACATGACACTCTAGTATTGGTATATTTAATCACCTCATTCCCAATTAGTGTCCCATCACTTTGCCATCCATCCTCATAGTCAACAGTGTACTTTTGTCTAGATACAATTACAACACTGGTTTAGGCGAGACTTTTTTTATTCCTTGTTCCGCGTACTTATTTTTTCAAAGATTATCGGAGGCGGGTGGAATAAATATAAAAATAAAATTTTGTTTTCTTATTTAGCAAACAGTTTTACCTAAATCATCCAGACAGAGGAGAAAATAAAAATAAAATTTTATTAGTAAATGTAAAATAGGATGGTTAAATGCTTCAAATTTATATAAATAGGAAGAAATTTACATATCTTATCTTTGGAGATTTCAAGGCAGCGGAGGGCATAATAAAAATAAAGAAAAACTTTTATTTTTTTCTAAAATTTCCACTTTTTCGTGTTGGCGGGTGCGCTAATTGGTAAAAAATAAAATGTTATTTTTATTTGGAATCATCAATATTTGCAGTCGGCGGGTTCGTTAAACAAGGTATAAGAAAGGTCTCACCCTATGATGAGATAATTTTTATATATGACTGTAGCCTCTTGTGACTGTAATTTGACATGCCTTCGAGTATACTGTATATTTTAATCAGCTTTGCTAAAGCCTGAAAATAATGAATTGAAATGATGTGGCTCATCATATATAGTATTTAACACAAAAAGTACATTTCATAATTTAATATTATTATTAATATAATTATTAATAGGCACATTACTATTTAACATACTAGGGATACTTATTTACATAATCATTACATATAGAATTACCACTAACATTTTTCATTACCATTACCAATATAGCATTTGCATTAATACAATTATTACTAAGCCAATAGTTGTCAATATTATCAATCATTATTGTATTATTAAATACTATATGTAGGCTATATTAACATATTATCATGATAACACAATAGAAAATTCATAATGTAGTCTAGGATCACCTCTCCACAACCAGATAGACACAAAACAAAGGCCTAATTTAGGTAGGCCTAGCCTAAAGGAGGAGGGACCACTCCAGACCTGGACCTGGACAGGCCCCATCTGGCTCAGCCAGGCTGAGTGAGGTGAGGCTAGGACTACCATACTAGCTAGCTAGGATAGACCTGGGTAGACTGATACTGTCTGTAGGCTAGGCCTAGGCCTAGCTATTTTTAATTAAGCGTCAGGCCTAGCCTAACGAGGGTACATTACCAGTATTTAGACATAATTTAATTAAATACGTCTGTCTAGGCGAATAACGTTAGTAAGTAATGAATATAAAGAGGTGGTTCCTGCTCGACCTACTGTATCATATGTTTATGTTACGTGTCACACACACACACACACACACACACGCGGTCTCAATCCAGGTCGCGATTTTTTTTTCCGTACGAAACATTTACATGAAACTCCACTCGGGCCGTCTCGGCTGAATCGACCCGAAAATCTCATTGCAGAATTCAGGAGGTCAAAAGGTCATCAACAGATAAACGTCAACGAGGGTACATTACCAGTATTTAGACATAATTTAATTAAATACGTCTGTCTAGGCGAATAACGTTAGTAAGTAATGAATATAAAGAGGTGGTTCCTGCTCGACCTACTGTATCATATGTTTATGTTTACGTGTCACACACACACACACACACACGCGGTCTCAATCCAGGTCATGTTTACATGTCACAGGAAGTGGAATCTAGGTCATTCTTCATAATTGACATGGGACTGAGCATGCGTAATGCCCTTGACGACAACCCATAACAACTTATTGAGTCTCTTCATTCGTGACCTGTGTTGTGCAAGTTGTGTTTTAAAAGTACTTATTTTTTTACATTTTGAGGTTAAAATCATGGATGGCGATGGACTGCATTTAGATATAGACTATGTTGGTTCATGTGGGGTGGTTTTAAGCCCTGAACAGAAATCATCACTTCAAAGCTCTCTCATTATTTTGAAGCATCATCACAAGTTCAACAGAGTGTTCTTTTGGGGTAAAATCATCGGCATCAAGGGTGACTACTTCATAGCCCAAGGAAGTGGAGATGATGAACTTATTGACAGAAAAACGCTTTACAGGTAGGCTAGGCCCGTATTTTTCCTCCTAGGCCCAGTTTTAAGAAAAGATAATGTTATTTTTGTCAATGATTGTTTTTGGTCTTTCAAAGAATTTTATGTATATATTATCCTATTAGGCCTATTAGTATTGTTTTTTTTTTAGTTTTCATTTCTGACTAGGCCTATATGACAGTCATTGATTGTCTATTGTAATTTTTTTTGTATTTATTATATTTGCGACTGTAGAGTATATTAATATTGTATTTATAATAATCTGTAAAATAATAATTTAATTAATGCATTGAATAGGTGGTTTTATAATGTTTATAAAATGCTATATTATTAAATCAGTATTCTCTTACAAATATTCAAATGTGTTCATCTTTACCAACAGCTTAGATTGTGTAACATGGGGTTTGTTACCCCATGCAACTACAGCCATGAAAGAGCAGTGTTCTGTTGTTAAAGGGAGATTCATTGGAGACCCATCACATGAATATGAACACATAGAAATTAAGAAGATCGGGGAAGGAGAGGAAGCCACTGAGGAAGAAAACACTGTAATTATTGTTATATATCTTTCTCCAAACTTGAAACTGCACAATAATTAAATTTCATTTACTGTACTGCATTACAGTGGACCAACACCAATATATTTATAAATTAAATGTTCTGCAATAATTGTTTTTTTAAATAAACTTTTAGGTTATAATGAATTAAAAAATGTTTTTTTTTTAAATATGTGAAGATATATATATCAATAATTTCAAACCCCTCTCCATTTACACAAAAATTTTCCCCTTTCAGATAAACCAAAAAAAAAAAATCTCCACATTCAGAAAACCTCTTTACTTCAGAGAATTCCCTCCTTTTGTCAGAAACAAAAACAAAAAAAAAAAACCTCTCCCTTTTCTGTCTTCTTGGAAAAACTCCTCAGAGGAAATTTCTTCCCTACTCAGAAATACCTTCCCCTTTCAGAGAAACTAACCCTTTAAACCATTACAGTATTCTCATAGAAATGCCACACATTTAAAAATCTCACCTCTTCTCTCAGTCTATAAATATTGTTTTTGTGTAAAACTAATGCAACATTAACATTTATACAGCTACCAATCTTGTTTTAATTACAGATTATGATAAAGGAGGAGGATCGGCTAGCATCTGTTGTTTCTCATATTGATGAAGACGTTGCTGTGGTACCAAGACGAGCTTACATCAAAACACCTCATGGAACCGTCCTTCAAAACAGAAGTTTCGAAGGTATTATAATACTAATATTTGTAATGGTGAAGCTTAGTGCAACACAAAAGATATGCATTCGATGCGATGTAAGGAACGTTGCATATTCTGTATGCACTGTAGTGTAGCTCATTGGGACATCCTCCCCTCAAATCAGAAAAAATGTGCAACTGCGCTGGAAAACCAATTACTCTTATTAATTATTCCAAAATCTGGAATTCTTTGCCCATACACATCAGGTCAGCAGAAAATATCATTATATTCAAGTCCAGAATAAAGAAACATCTGTTCGACCAGCACTTCCCCAATTAATTAATTCTCTTTCTCACACTACTTTTCTACTCTTGTATTTTTTCTGTCTTGCTTGGTTCTGGCACCATGAGCGCACCATGCGGATACCGGCGCCTTATAAATGTCCATTATCTGACCATGGGTATACATCTTGTATGATTACCGTGTCTTTACAGTGTCTGTTTGATGCTTGCTGTCTGGAGCAGCGTCAATTGTGACTTATGTGAGGGGTATTTTTTTCAATGGCGATTTCTACCCCACATAAGTCATAATTTTACATAGACTCTAGTCGTACTAAATCTTTCCATGTTATTTTACAGGCTCTTACGTCAGCTGCAGCTTTCAGCAGCTTTACTTCACCTGTCTTTAGGTATTCAGCTACAGTATTAGTCTGGTTACTGAACTTTTTACATCCTAATAAGATAAAAATTTAATTTTCTATACAACCATGTGATAAGAATTCAAGTGCAGGGCTAAGGGCATTCTCTTTTACTTTCTTACCTCACATTGTAATAATTTTTATTTGTTTTTTTCTCCTACTACAGGTCTTAGTGTGGCAGAGAGTTTAAAACTCCAGAATTATTTCCATTTCCGTGAAGCAGTCAAGTTAAAAGAGAAAACATTGCTGGAAAAAGCAGACATGGAAAAGTCAATAGACTTCCTGGACCCTATCAGTGATGACATACCAAGAGGTAATGACGTAGGGCTGCTGCACCCATGTTATGTGTGGTTGTGTAATATACACACCTAGCGATCAGCCTTCGCTACGTTGGATAAAGAATTCTATCAATTATCAACTTTCAATTGAAAACAAGAAAATATTTTCCTTGACAATTAACAGATACAAACTTCCTACTATGACGTGGAGTTGATCTGTTGGAGTCAGCTTGGCCTAGTATTGCCCATCAACTGGGCAAGTTTGCACACCTGTCAGATTGCTTCCAATCTTATGTTTAATCTTATGTTTTATGTTTCAATGTTTATGTACTGTAATGCTGTAGTAGTTAAAATGTCTGTAATTTTGAGTTTTTTTTCTTTCTTGTGTCCTATTAGGAGTACTGTACTGTGTTTTCAATATAATAGACAATATATTTTGTTTATACTTCGTGAAATGTTCTTGTCATAGACAGCACTTTAAAATGAATACTTTATTTTTCTTCCAGAATCATTTAGTCTTCAGGCTGAGCGTGGTAGTGGTTTGGTGATCATCCGAAGCCTTCTTTGGCAAGGAATGGCATTTTACCATGTCCCCCACACCAAGAAATTTGGATATGTCTACTTTGGCACCGGCGAGAAAAACAAAAACCTCCCATTCATGTTGTGAGCAAGCAAAAGACATCTTTATTGGTAGTTTACTGCTGTTTTTTTTAAACCCCTCCCTCCCAAAAAAAATGTTCCATGTACTGTACATATATTGTAAATAACAATATTCTGTTCTTGGATTCCTGTTCTTGGATTCTTGGATTCCTGATATCTTTTATTCAGTTATCACTATTGTAATTAAAGAATCATTTAATCACATATTTGCTGCTTTGGTAATAAAAGTTAAATTTGAAATTATATAACCAATAAGCAATACTGTCAATCAAGTATTGATTGACAGTTAGAATTGCAATGCTCCACAATGCAATCTTTCATTGTATTTTAAAGATGTTAGTGTTATTTCTTGCATTCTGTAGTCAGGAAAAAACCATCAAGAAAATTGTTATTCAAGCTTTCTGAATGTATTAATATATTGTCATATGTAGTGTATACATAACAGACTTAACTTTGGCTTTGCTAGATTCTCTAAAATTTGTAAGTATTAATATGTTGTAAAATATTACTCTAATCTCATTCACACCATTATTCTGTTTGTCTATAGCTTAAATAATATGTTTTACAGTCGGTTTATATTCACATTGATTATTGTTTTGACTTATATTTAGAATTTATACCAATAAAATCAGAGTATTGAGCAGAAAAGATTTTCTATGTAATGTGTATGAATTTATGGATTTGAAATCAAATAAAAAAAATTGACATGAACTAGTAAAAATGTAGCCCTGCGATTTGGTACATTTATTGGTCAGGTACATGAAGATTACAGTCTGATAATGCAATTTTCGGTGCTTATTTTAATGTCTCGCATTACTTTAACTGTGGTGGGGGCTAATACCCTATTCGGACTACACTCTGTTGCGATGTAATCGGTGGTAATCCAAAACTGATTACTCCCGATCGTAATCAATGAATGCATTCAGACTCAACACAAACTTTACATCCTAGGACCTAGGCCTATGTTGACTAACCTCAGCCAAACAGTACCTGTGGAATTTGTTGTGATCAGATTCCATGGTAATCGGGAGTAATAAAGATTGCAGCACCCAATCACAATGGCTAATAATTGCAATATCGATTTCTTATCGACTGGACTCCCGGGAACTTTGGACACCTTGTCAGTGGTGTAACCAGGGTGTTTTTCCGGTGCCTGAAATAAATGGCAAATTAAGTTATGTTACACGTTATCTACCAATTAATGGTGTAGTCAGCCATCTCTATGCTCTGTCTCTAGTTTAGCACCTTTGCGTAAAGTTCATTGAATGTAATCCTGGATACTCCACTGCTCGTGATGGTGCCATGACTGAATCAATGCCTTTTGTTGTCATCTTCTGAAAGATGGCTTGGAAATGTTCCACCTCAGAATCGTGGTAAACGGATTCTCTTCTTTCCTTGTATTCCTGGTGGTAAAACCATTTTTTCTTTTGGTTTGTGATCTGGTAATAAACCTAGGATTGAAAGAAAAAATTGACCACAAAATTAGAAATGACTAATAATAATGATATATAACTCAATGAAAACAAATTAGATTATCCCTCCCACCCCTCCTTCATTTTGGTTAGCTTGATGTCTGGTAATGAATTAAAGTATCAACCACATGAGTTTTGAAATGTTTATACTGTAATTAATAACTGAATAATATAATACATTAATAGGACAAAAATAATGAATTAAAGTGGCTTCCTCTACTCTACTTTTTAAAGATGTATAAATGGTGATATTCTAATACTGTACATAGATTGATTGATTGATAGATTGTTGGTTGAATAAATGATTCAATTAATTGATTGATTGACGTGAATTACTTTGGAAGACACTCACCTGCTTTATGAGCCCTCTTAATACACTCTACCAGATTCAAATGCTGCTTAGAGCAAACACCTGTGATACGTTTCGGCAACATTGAGCCATCTTCTTTGATAAATTGGCTTAATATTAAAACATCCTGTAAATAATAATATAAAAAAATTGTCATTCTTGAAGATCTTTATTTAGCGGCATAACGAAGAGACCCAAGGCCCAGGCTAATATTTTTTCGGCCCTTGTTTGGATGGACACATAATCAATATTTTAGTCTTGACGACCTTGTGGCATCAGACGACGGTGGCAAATCTCATGGTGCGCAGGGGCTACCAAAAGTCTGCATCCCACTCCTCATTGGAGATAGCATTCACTTATTCATTGAGCCTTCACTTTCAGGCCCTCTTCCCCATCAGTGCCCACCCACTCTCTCCCCCCTTCCTTCAAGGCTACTAGACATGCCACTGGACATTGGGAGTCCATGCGATTGTCCTCTTGACCCTCCATTTGTGCTGCCACTCAATAATCTTTGTGTATAGTACTTACCTTATATGTTACCTTGAGGTTTAGTCGACAGATTGGACAAGCATCTTTATATTCTTCGTTAATGAATTTAGTTGCTGCAGTTGCTGAAACATATTCTGCTTCAACCTATGAACAAATATCAAATTTGAAGGCAATAAAATACATCAAACCTGAATTACAACCTGTAGCATTTCTTCGATAACAAAAAAAAATAAATTAAAAAAAATAAATTAAATAATTGGAAACCGTGGTTGACAAACTAAGAAAAAAAAGGAGTCTTCTTGAACAGAACTGTCTGCTGCCCTCTATATTGTAAATCGAGTATCAATCAATCAATCAATCAATCAACCACTTTATTGAAAACCGCTTTTTGATCTAATGCACATGTCACTTACTTAAATTGAATAATTTACATAATATAAAAATAAGAGTAGTAAGTAGTAATCTACTAGTAGGCCTAGTAAGTAGTATTGTAATACAGTAACTTTTAAAAGTATACTCACCGTCGTAACATCTCCTTCGGTGGTTTCTTGAACTGTAAAATGCAAAATATAAATTAAAAATCAAGTTTTTAAGTAATATTTGAAAAGTCATAATATTAAAAGTGCTGTATAATTTTAACTTAATTAAAATATCAAGTAGCCAAAAACCTAGTAGAGGGTCTAAATCTACATTGTGGATCGGTAAGTAGGCTCTCGATTTACACAAAGAAGTACAAAAGGTAGAAGTAAGGTTTTCCAAAAAATGGTACGAATAACCTACACAGAAAAGTACTCGTCTACTAGGTATATAGCGACATCTCTCGCCGAGCCTTATATTATAGGTCCACATAGGCCTAGCGCCTAGGCCCTAGGCCTAGTTCTTGTCTAAAAAATAGACTTAGGTTTCGTTACCTTTTCTGTATTTGTCTGTATTGACACCAGCAGTATGAAATAATAACCGTGTATCTCTGAGGTAGGTGAATGTTGTCGTTGTAGCTCCGTTCAATGTCGTACACATTCTATAGACGCTCGAGCACGCAAATCGCCGCATGCAAGCCGCCATCTTGTAGATACACGACATGCACTGCGTAACTGCGTTTGCGACTTCCGAATTTTATTATACTGACGCGTTTTTCAACGCCCTCATTATTATTTAGACTTGCGTCACACCAAAGAGTATAAATAGAACAAGAGAGCAAAGTCCCGTTCGTAAAAACGTCATGCCTGTGTAGGACGCCAACTAACGGTTGTATATTCTTTTTATTACCCAGTGCAGCGCTGCGCAGCGCGGTAG